CCAGGACCCAAAGAAGTTAAAACAGATTCTATTAACCATTATCTTGCACCTTTGGTCGATCAGTTAATTGAACTGTGAAATGGAGTAGAAATTCCCACAAATGAATTTCATAATGGCAAAAAAATTAAATGTACTATTATATGTTACTCATGTGACATTCCAGTGGCCAGAAAGCTATGTGGACAAATATTGGCAAGAATTGCATGTTTTTAATGTGAAAAACATGCACAGTTTGATTCTAGACATCAACCTAATTTTGGTAGATTTTCAGATATGAATGACTAGTTTGTAGAGTATGATATTAAGAAAATTAAAAAAAATGCATATAAATAGCTTCATTGCAAAACTGAGGATCAAAGAAACACCTCTCTGAAAACTTGGTGAGATGGTCAGAACTCTACTATTTTCCTTATTTTAATCCAATTAAATATATAATTATAAACCCATGTATTGTTTATTTTTGGGAATTGCAAAGTGGATTGTTATACAACTTTGAATAGAAGGTGGAAAATTAAGTGCTAATAACCTGAAACTTATAGATAAAAGGGCAAAAAAATTACAATCTTCATGAGAATTTCTTATAAAATTGCTACAGGAGAAGGATTTTCTGAATATATGGCAGACTAGTGCGATCATTTATAATGATATATACCACTACTATTACTTGGAATTTAATAACAGAACCAGACCAACATATTCTTGCAAACTTTGTTAGAGTATATACTCTGTTAGTCTGTAGAATATTAAACAAAGAATTGCTTATTAAAGCTCATCAAAAATTATTAAATGTAGCAAAGTTAATAAAACAAAATTATGGTTCTGAAAAAATTATTTCTAATATCTATTTAAGTTTGTGTTTGTGTGAAAATTGTATAGATTATAGACTATTATATTTATTTTGGTGTTTTTCTTTTGAACGTATGAATAGAGTCTTAGATAGATATCAGATAATTGTTATATATACAATATATCATATTATATAATAATACTAACCAGTAGATATAATTTATATTTTATAGGCTTATATAAGACTAGCCAAAGAAATATAGAACCTGAGCTTCTGAGAATTATTCTCATGAATAATTCTTTGGACGAAGTTGTATCAAATGCTAAAAATAATATCAGATTATCCGATTCTCTAACAATATTAAAAGAAAGAGTATCAGGTGGTAGCATAGATATTTTAGATGAATTTAAAACACAAAATCTTCTTCAATTTTATAATTTAAGAAATGTTATTAATCAGAGAGAAGCTTTTGGCTTCAAACCATTTCCTGGTATATTTCTTGGTCCAAAATCTGAAAATGCTATATTACTAACCAATATTTATAACCTTTTAGTTAAATTCTATAATAATATAGCAATAGGTTTTTAATTACTACTCTAGGAGATATTTTGAGAATTGATTATATAGCTATATTTCTTTGAATAATTCAATATGGGTGATTAAAGTTGGGGTCAAAAATTTTTAGATTTACATTTTTAGCTTGCTATATCAAATTCTCAAGAATTCTAGCAAGATTTCTTGCTTCAGAAGATGAATCAATAGATTCATATCCTGGTCAAGTTCAATTCTATTTTGACTACACTATCTATCTTCCT